TGCTGTTTAATTTAATTTTGCTGTTTAATATAATTTTGCTACTTAATTTAATTTTGCTATTTAATTTAATCTTACTGTGTCTAATTTACTTTTTAATTTAATTTACTTTTGCTATTTAACACAATTTTTAATTTTGCACTCGGTTCAGCATTGAAAATGTCACATATTAATAACGCTAATTTTTCAGCAATTTTAAAAATTCATTTTCATAGCAATCAATTCAAACAAATCGAATTCGATTACAATATGTCGGTCGCGAAAGGGTTCTAATGTCATCCTCTGTGATAAACATTAACCTCCTACTTTCGGTACAATTAATTAAATTGCTCCCGAATTAAATCTCAATTAGAAAGATGAAAGATGAAATAAAGAAAGAGAAAGTGTTAAAAGGTGCCCGAACATTTTCTGTCGCAGCAATTCTCATCCAAAGAGAAACTCGCGAGAACGCGGCGGCGTTCGCGGCCGCCGCGAAGCCGCGCAGAAAGCAACCCTCGCCGATTTAATAATACCGATGAGCCACATTCAGCAGATAATTCAGCGGAAAAATGCCGGCAACGAGGTTACGATATCGCGATCGATCTCGGGGGCCGTCGTAGTACGCTGATGAATCCCCGGTAGAGAATCCTTCCCGATAAATCCGAGCGTAATCGTTTCCGCGACGCGTGTCGCGGCCGACACGTCATTTTAAAACGAGACGTAACAGTCTTTACAAGTCTTTTGTCATTTCTATCGCGACGCTAATCGCGACGTTCGCCGTTACTATAATACTTTCTGCCTTCGCGCAGGGACAAATGAATCCGGCGATTTTTTTTCGGCGAGGTGCAGTAATGTCTCTCTAATTGACGCTCGGATTGTCGACAAAAATGGACGATTTGGGGAGAGGAGACACGATTCTTCGAGCCTTGTAGCTCGTCTTTTATAATTGTTGACAATTCGTAACGGTAAAAATGAACCGCGAGGCTCGAATAATAATCGTGTCTCCTCTTCCCGAATTGTCCATTTTTGTGGACAATATGAGCGTCAATTAGGGAGACATTATTGTATAGCGAGAGCAATAAAGCGATCGAAGGGATTAGGGCGACTGTTAGGTGATTAGCGCCGATCCGCAGGTTAATTTTTTCAGTCCCTTTGTTAGTCGGGTTTTGCAAATCTGATAATCTTATAATATAATATAATATAATATTATATTATGTTATATATTATAATAATGACAATAATATATTATATATTATTTAATTAAATACGATAATAACACACAATATTATTTATACAAATAATATACAATATTATTAAAGAACATATATATTATTGTTATTACTAATATATTATTATATATAATATAATATAATATAATATCATAATAATAATATAATATATTGTATATTATTAAATATAATATATTCTAATATATTGTATAATATATTATATAATACATTCTAATGTATTTTATAATATATTGTATAAGATATTGTATAATGTATTGTATAATATATTGTATAATATATGGTAATATATTATTAAATATTATTAAATATATTGTATATATATTATAATTTGTTAATACGTCCGAGCACGTCGCAGCCCGCGAAGACAAACAGGAGTAATCAGCGATTAGGTATTATAATACGCACGACGACGAGCAACAGCATAATCGTGAAATCGGAGCACAGAAACCGTGACCGTATTTTACTGCGTCTCGATCTCTTTCTCATGGAAACGAGGTCGTTCATCATCATCATCATCATTGTCGCGTCGTCATCGTCATCGTCGTCATCATCATTATTATCATCGTTCTCCGTCGAATCGAGAATCACGGCGCATTATCATGCCGTCTGACGCGCTCGTCCCGAACGATTCTTTCTTCCACCGACGACACGATTACATACAGGGTGTCCCAAAAATGTCTCGCAATCCGAAAGTGGCGGGTTCCTCGGGTCGTTCGAAGCAACTTTTTCCTTTACAAAAATGTTCTCCGAGGCGCCGTTAACGAATTATCAACGAAAAACAGCGACCAATGAGAGGCGAGCTCGGCTGGCGCGAGGCGACCGAGCCAATGAGCGGAACCGGGCTTCGCGCGCCGGTTGGCCGGGCCGCCTCGCATCAGCCGTACTCGATTCTTATTGGTCGCTGCTTTTTCGTTGATAACTCGTTAACGGTGCCTCGGAGAACATTTTTGTAAAGGAAGAAGTTGCTTCGAATGATCCGAGGAACCCGCTATTTCCGGATCGCGAGACATTTTTGGGACACGCTGTACAGGGGAGTTGCGCGCGTGCATCGTTTCCTCGCGACCTTCCCCGAATGCAATTTTCTCCGACGCGATCGCCGCGAAGCGGCAATGCACTTCCACTACTGTTGTTGCACCGAGTGAATCACTCACTCGGCCGACACCACGAGCGCACTTGCCGGTAAACAATGTCACGCTCCGACGACGAGGATTGTGTACGAGGGAGTCGGTCGGTCGGAGCTCCATTGATAAACAATTCGAAAGATCGGACAAATATTCCCTCAGCCGCTTTGTCAATGAACTTAACCGTCGGTCGACGAGCCGATTTCGCAGATACACGGTCGACGATGCTTGCGGCTAGATCGTCGATCTTGCAAGTGTGTATTTATGCACTTTGTTATTTACTGTTTTATTCGTTACTTATTATTTACTATTTTGCATATTGCACAGGTTCTAAAAAAATGTTTTATTTTATTTTATTTTTATTACCGGATTAGTTGCTACCATAATTTGTCATTATTTTTATTGTCATTTTGTTATATTTATTTATTTTTATATAAATTATTTATATATTTTATTATATTATATTATATTATATAATATAATATTATACTATATAGTATTATATTAATATTATATAGTATAATATAAAAATAATAAATACTGGTAAANTTCGAAATAAAGCCTAAATATATATAGCCTAAATATTAATAAATATAAATAAAATAAATATAATATAATAATATAATATTATATTATATAATATTATATATAGTATAATATTATTATATTATATAATATTAATATAATATAATATTAGTATTAATATAATATAATATTAGTATTATATAATATTATTATATTATATTATATTATATCTATTTTATTTATATTTATTTGTCAGTATTTGTTTATTATCCAGAAGAAAATCGGAATATTTTCGAACGCATCTTTCCGTCGTACGTGCTCGACAAAAATCTTTCCAGCGCATACACTAACGCGATCTTTCCAGGGCACGGCTAACACGATTTTTCCATCTTACACTCGACCAGAACCCAATCTACATAACAATGCAATATTAATTCTATCCGAGATTTGTCGAATATACAGGGTGGACCACGCAACGCGACCATTTTAAGTTGTTTTGTTGCTGGTGGTTCGATTGGGAATCGAAATTGTTTTTCCTACAGTAGTAGCAATTTACTTTACTTAATGTTCACAATTTATTTAATTTGTGATCTAACTAGCTAATAGATAATACTAATATAGTACTAAATAATATATTATATATATTATATAATACTAAGTAATATATTATATATAATATATAGTACTAAATAATACATTATATTAATATATAATATATAATACTAAATAGCATATTATAATAATTATAATACTAACATATAATACTAATGGTGATCAAACTATCTAGTTACATAGGGTGATTCCTGAGGTCATTTGTCGCAACTTTTTGCTTAGCGAAAATGCAATCCGCGGGCTTTGTTTACGGCTTTGATTACTATTTTCCCTAAATATTAATTGCATTTTTTCGGAGGGCTAGCATTTATTCGTAATGATGAGAGAAGTGTAAAGTTATTTTCCACACGAGTCTGACACGTGGATCAAGTGACTTCTAGCTCGGTATTTGCATTTGTTATCGGCCGTGAACTTTAGTGGATAAGCCAACTGTTGTGCAATATATTAATTAAAGCGTCATTGGGGCTTCGACAATTATTACATCGTGTGATGTGTTCGTCTACCTTTGCTCTTTTGTCGGGAACTAACAACCATTGTTTGCGTCTAACACTATAATTGTTAATCTACAATATTTGACTCAGAAAATGTGAAAGAAATATTAAGTTGTTCTATTTAAACAATGTTATCATTGCTGGAGTCTCAGAAAATGTGAAAGAAATATTAAAAAATAACCCTTATACTATCAAACTATATAACAAAGAAATATACAGCATGTAAACATGAAGAGAGCAAGAACGGATGATCAAAATATTGTTTAATAGCAATCACTGTGTGCTAACACTGTATGCTCCAATAATTTATCAATAAATAAGTTGCAACGCGTGATCCGGGACAAGATTGCGTTTTCAAAATAACAACACTGCAAGAAACTATGTGAAATAATATTTCCCTATTGCAAAATGTTAATTCGGCCCCCCTCCCCCTCCATACTGTATCTTTTTATCATTGTGCAATTTATCTGCACAGCAGAATATTTCAAAAGATATTTTCTACCATTCTGCAAAACAGTGTTCAGCACGTATCAAAGAACGGATGACTTTTTAAGAATAATAAGAACACACTGTCCCCTCTATACAGGGTGTCCCAAAAATGTCTCGCAATCCGGAAATGGCGGGTTTCTTGGATCATTTGAAGCAACTTCTTCCTTTACAAAAATGTTCTCCGAGGCACCGTTAACGAGTTATCAACGAAAAAGCAGCGACCAATAAGAATCGAGTACGGCTGACGCGAGGCGGCCCGGCCAACCAGCGCGCGAAGCCCGGTTCCGCTCATTGGCTCGGTCGCCTCGCGCCAGCCGAGCTCGCCTCTCATTGGTCACTGTTTTTCGTTGATAACTCGTTAACGGTGGCTCGAAGAACATTTTTGTAAAGGAAAAAGTTGCTTCGAATGACCCAAGGAACCCGCCACTTTCGGATTGCGAGACATTTTTGGGACATCCTGTAGATAGGAGAGAAGCCGAAAAATTTGAACGCGCGTCGTTTGCTTAGCATTATCATCGCAAAAGAATTGTACTTACAAAGGAGGGAGTCCAGCCGTTCTTTGATGTTCTTGCTCTTATTCATCCTCTCCACGTCGCTTTCGTCCGTCTCCAGCGGGGTTTCCCATTCGGAAGAGTCGTAGGTTTGCTCCTTTCTGGAGTCCGCGAGGTCCTCCCTCTCGTTCCTCTTCTCGACGTTGTCGTACGAGGAGTTTCTGTCACTGTACAGCGACTCCGACGTGTCTGGTGGCTTCAACAGCTCTGGGTACCTGTTGTGCCAAACGAGAACATCAAATATAACCAATTACATTTTTAATTTGTATACATATATTTTATTTTATTTTATATTTTATAATTATAATATATATATATAATCATATATATTTTATTTTATTTTATATTTCATTATATTATATTATAAATAATTATATATATATAATATATGATATAATTATATATTTATATATTTTCTAAATAATCTGAACAATTGTTCCTAAAAGTCAGTTCAAATCTACATCATCTTTCAAAAACGAGAAACGTCTGCAACTCACCGTTGGAGAATGATACTCTGAACGGTCAAAGTGTTCCCAACAACGTCCCTGTCGCACTCCTCGTCTGGGAACGTTCTAGCAACGTTATCGCCCTCGTAATCTGCATCACAGTCGTAGTCGGCTTCGCACTCCTCCCCTTCGTTCCCTAAACAAGATAATCGACCGATCATCAGCTATCGATTAATTTGACGCGTATTTAATTAAATTAATTTATTTCTCTCTCTCGCGCTCTCTCACTTTCTCTCTAGCT